GAAGGCTGTAGTAGGTTTAGGATCATCTTTGTCTCCCCGAAGGGAGCTTTCTCTTTGTCGTTATATAGTTGTCTATTGCTTCACAGCTCTTATTACAATTTTTACTCTTGCATATTTTTGATTTCACAGTTACGAATTTATAGACTGAATTCTGAAATTTGTTCTTGTCTGTACGTTTCACGGTTTGGTATAAAATGTGTAAGATTGGCTTCCTCGGTAAGCAACGCCATTTCCTGAACACTTTCCAACGTTTCGATACTTCGGAAATAATGTCTTGAGATTGGAATCCGGTATCTCACTAACGTATAAGTCACGCTCCGTTCTGCTCGGAAATAGTGCGATGTTTCACCTCACATTTTCGCAGTGCCGTCATGTTAGTATTGCTGTGGATACGAAGGTGGAAAATATCTGGACTCGGGGATGTCTGCAGATATGAAGACCATGTGGATTTTAAAAATATCAGTCACATTGAATATGATATTAAAATTCGTAACTGAACTGGAGGATAGACGTGTGCAGGTCTATCAGTCTAAAGGTTTCTTATATGTAAGCATTTCAATGTATTTTTGCGTTGTATAGTGATTAGGACCTTCAACACACTTGACATTCTAAGATTATAATCATTTGTTTTTTATCTGACGACATATTTCGCCATAATTTACCATCCTCATGCCAATCTTCTTATGTTATGCCAACTGAAAGTCAAATAGAATTAAAAAGTTAACATTAAAATAGATGTTACAAAACGCTAATAGTTAAAATTGTACTCAAAAGTGGCATTAAGTTAAAAATAAATTCGAATGGAACTATTCTTGCACACAGGAGTTGAGGTCACCTTCAGTTGTCCATTTACCTTCACTCCCAGCGTCACTCAAACCTTCTTGCATGTACTAAAGCGCTTATCCCAAAAAGACACTTTGAAGGTACCGTTCACTTACTCGCGACATAGACTAGTAGAGACGACAGCGGCCAAGTCAAAAGAAAAGCCGCTTAAACGGCGACCTCCTGCTGTCTCTCAGAAGGCCACCAGAACAGCATCGAAAGACCAAGGAAGGAAAGGAAGTGTGAGTCAACGTATATGCAAAAGATAAGAAGGTACTGAGAACAGCACAGCGCTAAAGCCATAACCCCCCCCCCCCTCAAACAAAGAATAAAATATTGTTTCTGCTGCGATCTCACAGACCGCACGTCACCGGTTACGGAGTTAAAAATTTGTCAGGAATGACAGCGTAAAAAAGTGCAAGGCAAACTCAAGAATATCTGAGGAAGAGTGAATTCAAAACTTGGTGAAAAAGAACAGGATAAAAGAATAAGCCAATAAACTTTGTCAGGAAGTTATCATGTCAAAAATCGTACGGGAAGTCCCAAAGAAATCTGTGAAGAGTGTAACGAAAGGAACGACAGAATGGAAATTGAAGGATATATTGAAAAATAAGAGCAGGAAATTAGCAGGCAAAATGATTTTCTAAAGCGAGGTTCATAAGACGATCACAACAGGATACTCAGAATATGAGACAAAGAGGAGTATAACGCAACGACATAAAAGGTCCCAGGCAAAATTCTAAAAAAGTTTAAAGCCATTTACAACATTATATGAATAATAAATCGACAAGGTTACTATTTCATTAATATTGAGGTATTTTTATTTTATCTGAAGTTTTACTCATTTCAACTTTGACCAGATCTTTGTGAAAAGCACAGGAGCTCTCAGGTTCACAACCTGTAATGAAGAAACCGTAATTTCTCTGTGTGTACAGAAATTCCCTCCCACACCTTCTGTGTTTCATGTTCGCCAAGTCCGCTCCAGATTAGTGGCCAATATCAACAGCCCCCCGGGGGTAAACACTGGCGTAATTAGTGACGTCAAGGGAGTTAGGAACATCGGCAGCTCGTAAGCAATTAGGAATGTTCGGATTCAACTCCTGAGAAGCATTAGTCCGAGCAAAAAGATCTTTCTTTCAGGCTTTCACAGCGACTGAATGTAATAACGTAGGATTTGTGGTTTTCATGTCGGTAAGTCAGTAGATGGTTGTATTCTGCAGAATAAATTCGGTTTAAATAAAAATCATCACGAAAAATATTAAAGCTTACAACTATAATGGAATAATCAGCTGGTAGTTATGATGGTGGTAAAGATAGTAATGTCATTCTTTGTTCCAAACGCACCGATGGGAATTATTGTGCGTTTGTGAACCAAGAACTGCCGCCCGAGTGAACGGTACGTTTAATGGTTGCGGTCAAAGTCACTAATTAGGTCTCCCGTGACGAAGGCGTGACAGAAGCTTTGTGATGTACCACAGTAACTATGGAAACATAATGACATTAATTTCCGATATGACGACATGCTTGTGGGTGTTGTATTTGTTTGTCGCACCAACACAGTTCGGAAATAGGGGTTTTTGTTGATGTAAAAAACTCTTTTAATCAGCGTTTCAACACATTAATTAATTTACAAACATAATACAACCCGATATTAATAAAGGGGGGGAATTGTTTGTCTTGTTAAGCGTAAGCATCGCATATAAGTATGTACTTATCCTCTTTTACCCGTAGGTGTCGGGGTTTATTTATTCATTT